GAGAAAACCTGAAAGAATCAGGATTATGTTTCTTTTTCAAAAAAGGTTTATTACAAAATCAAAATACAAAAATGGGTAGATGAAAAAACAACTGCTATCCCCCACGGAGGAATTAGTTCAAAATGATTAAATAAGAGTTAGTTTACACCAGCTCTTGTCTTCTCAGAATCTCCCCAAAACTCTCCCTCTCTCTCTTTCTCTCCTAAGAGTCTCTTCTGTCATCCCCCATCCAGGCTTGGACGGGGGATGACCCCTCCAAATCTGCTCTGTCTCTTCTTGTCCTCTGCCCCAGCTGCTATCCGCTCTCCCAATCCCTCTCTGCTGTTCAGAGCTGTTCTTATATACCCTTCCTGGACCAGCTTAAGGTCAAGGGGTCATTTACCAGATACACACTTTGTAGCTCAACACAAAACATTTGGTGTCATTTTCACTACATGCAGCATTCTTCTTAACACAGGTCATTACATCATCTTTTGCAGCATTCTTCAGTTTCTCTCCAATGTTCCCGAGAGGACTTCTGGATCTGATGGGCTTGTCTTCACTCTGTTCTCCTCCAATCCCATCTTTCCAAGCCAGGGGTGGGGCAAAGAGGTGGGGTCAGTCTCCTGACCCTTCGCTCAGTTCTGTCCTCTTGTCCCTGTGACCCTTGTGTGACCCTTGTTTCTGACCACAGTTTTTTGACCTGCAGCCCAGCTCCTGTCGGCTGGCTGATTTTGCTCGCACAAGCCAGTCCAGTGTGTTTCAGCTTGCCACTGTCTTTGGCATGTGGGGACTCGCAACATCCCCCATGCGAGAAAAATCTAGCCAGGGGACTGCAGCAGCCTTCTTTGGGGGTGGGGCTGCCTCCTCCTCTGGATCATCTTCATCTCCAGTCTCAGACCCAGAGTCTGACAGCTCAGAGTTCAGATACACACCATCATCATCACTCACTTCAGTCTCTGAAGAACCAGATGTTTGTTCATGAGGGTTCAGATCTGGGTTCCTGCTTCTCCACCAGTTTATGTGGCCATCTGGTCAGCTGAGCTGCTGGTTGGAACATCTCAGTCTCCTCCTTCAAGCACAGACTCTCTCCCTCCAGACTGAAGACATTTTTTACTGCAGAGCTTCAAATATTCTCCTCACACACCTGAACAGCAACAAGCTAACTCTGCTAGCAGCTGCTGGTGGGAAGCTTACGCTAAAAACTATAAACTGTGGCAAGGTGGATAAATGAGGAGCAGGCGGGATTCGATCCCGAGACCTTCGGGGTGGGAGTCATACGCTCTAACCACTCAGACAAAGGGATATCCCCTTGGCCAACTGGCCAGGACGCATTATCAATCGGGACATTGTGACAGAACGCTCACACTGTCACACCTTCCCCCCTCTTTCCACCAGCGCGTCCTCGTACTCCCGCGCAGGGTGCCACAAACTTCACATCCATGGACCTACTTGACAGCACTACATGGATCCTGCCTACAACACCATATGTAGCGAGGTTAAAAATGCTTACGCATTATTAGTGTAGCTGTCTGTCAGGTCAGAATCATACGGAGCTGTTAGTTCAGGACTCTCCCTTCTCAACAGAACTAGTAGGGGGAGGGGTGATGTCACCACATCCTGCTTGTCTGTTGTTGCTCAGCTGACTGAGTGCTTTTTCTCTGTTCAGCTGTGGCTTCTCATATCTGCAGGCTGCCGAGAGCGGAAGCTAGGTGCTTGTTTCAAGCAGATCCTCTAAAAACAAAGTTTAATTGGAGCAGAGTTCCAATGCTCCCAGTTATAAGTCCGTCCTTTACAGGCGGCACGGTTTCTCCCCTCACGGAGCCCTTAAGCACAGAGGTTCACACATTAAACATGTTCCCGGCTTCTAGCCTCCATTGCGCATGACGATGCCCGACATGAGATTCTATGAAGCTAGGAAACATGATTACTTTACAGTTCGTGACAAATACCTCCCCGTGTTACCAGAAACGAGGCCCAAGTCACACAGATTCTTACATATCAGTCCTTCACTAGATTTTGATCCAGCCATGACGTTTAATCGCATCTCACTTGTGCCTCAGCACCCGGACAGCGCCCCGCCGCAGCTCCATACTAGCTTTTCCAGCCTCATTCTGAAAGCTCCGGTTACAGGATATTGAAAGATCTATCTGCCATGGCTGGTTAAAAGTTTTTCTTATTCTTTATTTATTTTTATTTTTTGCCTAGCTTTTATCCTTGGCTTTTCTTGCGTCGGAATGCCGTATTTTCTTTATACCTTTTTAAGTTGATCGTCCGTTCTCCCAGATTTCTTTCCTTTTCGAGAAACTGGTGCGGTTTTCACTCCAAGGTTATAAGCTTAATAGGTCCTTAGCGCGCAAGCTTTTATCAGCCTAAAAGACAGTTCTACGTCGGATAGCCCGGTATCTAATATTTAGACCTTCACTCCGTAGCCCCACGTTGCAGGCGCCATGTCGCGAACGTGGCATTTACCGTGCCCCACGTTGGGAAGCCATGTCGCGTGCCCGTCCCATTTACCGGTTCCTTTAAAACCTAGTTCCGTTAGAACTTATGAGACGGTGCATCCATCAGGGTTCGATGGGGATGTCGGTGAGTATTATAGTATTAGATCCTGGTTTGGGCGTCCTAAGTTAGAATCATATCTTTTATTTTAAAGGTGAAATAATATGTAAGACCTTTCCTTCTGTAGTAGCTCACTTCTTTTTAAGCAATCCCGTTATCTTAAGGTTTCTTTATATTAATCTGTCACAAACCGTAAAGTAAGTCCTGCTAATTCCAGAACCCGTAATTAATGTGCTTACCTCTGTGCAATTAATGATCAGAGCCCCCACTCGTGAAGCTTTAGAGAAAACCTCAAAGAATCAGGATTATGTTTCTTTTTCAAAAAAGGTTTATTACAAAATCAAAATACAAAAATGGGTAGATGAAAAAACAACTGCTATCCCCCACGGAGGAATTAGTTCAAAATGATTAAATAAGAGTTAGTTTACACCAGCTCTTGTCTTCTCAGAATCTCCCCAAAACTCTCCCTCTCTCTCTTTCTCTCCTAAGAGTCTCTTCTGTCATCCCCCATCCAGGCTTGGACGGGGGATGACCCCTCCAAATCTGCTCTGTCTCTTCTTGTCCTCTGCCCCAGCTGCTATCCGCTCTCCCAATCCCTCTCTGCTGTTCAGAGCTGTTCTTATATACCCTTCCTGGACCAGCTTAAGGTCAAGGGGTCATTTACCAGATACACACTTTGTAGCTCAACACAAAACATTTGGTGTCATTTTCACTACATGCAGCATTCTTCTTAACACAGGTCATTACATCATCTTTTGCAGCATTCTTCAGTTTCTCTCCAATGTTCCCGAGAGGACTTCTGGATCTGATGGGCTTGTCTTCACTCTGTTCTCCTCCAATCCCATCTTTCCAAGCCAGGGGTGGGGCAAAGAGGTGGGGTCAGTCTCCTGACCCTTCGCTCAGTTCTGTCCTCTTGTCCCTGTGACCCTTGTGTGACCCTTGTTTCTGACCACAGTTTTTTGACCTGCAGCCCAGCTCCTGTCGGCTGGCTGATTTTGCTCGCACAAGCCAGTCCAGTGTGTTTCAGCTTGCCACTGTCTTTGGCATGTGGGGACTCGCAACAGTCTAACATTTCACCACTAGTAAGTAGATTTTGTATGTATCTCCTATTTGTCCATTTATGTTTCAGTCTTGGTCATGTAGCAGCCGTCGACAGCCAGCCCTGCAAACCGATGGACGATGCAGTGGACAGTCAAGACGCATCTTGAAGCTCTTTCTGCAGACCACCCAGTAGGATGCTTCACTTGTCAACCAGAAAAGAGCAGCCACGGGTCTCAGCTCCAGCACTCCATCCATGACATTCATCTGTTCAGCAGATCCAGCAGCCCTGTTAGGGACTTCCTGCTTCAAAGTTGTTGAAATGGTCTTGGAACAGGACACTCAGGCTAATCCTGCACCAAATATGCATTTTATTTTTCTTTGTCAGCTATTTCTCTTATTTTGTATGTTTCCCTTCATGATTTTGTGTATATATGTTCAACCATGTTCAAACAAAATTGTAGTAAATAAAAGTATTAAGTTTGATCCATTTCTCCATTATTTTCTCAATTATATTTTTTGTTTAATACTTTAAAACATTACAGGTTACAGAAAAGAATCTTGAAGGTCATTTTAATACTGTTTCAAAACATTCTCAATATTTTTAATATGTCACTGCAGCTTCCGGTTGTCAACATTTACATGAGTGATACTGGTACTTTTAAATAGTTGACCAACAGTCCACTGTGGTGCTTTTAGAGGCAATTCAAATGCCTCTTTAAAGAGCAAGTCACCCCCTACCAGATTCTTACTCAACTCCCACCTCCTGTTTGAAAAATGCAACAAATGCTGTTGCCTAGCAGACCGAGAGGGTGGAGCCGCTAACAAATACACACACTCACGACATTGTGACATCATAATGTTTCATCTAACATCATAGTGTACCTCTTAGCCAGTAGCGATGGCAGATTTAAATTCAAATGCATTGCTGAGTTTTTACCTGACGACGGTGAAACACCGACAGTTTTAGTCAGATTTAAATTTTAACTAAGATGCACTAAAGTGCCGAATTACTGACTACATGTGTCTGCAGCATGATCAGACACTCATTTATATAGTTTATCAGGAAAAAAAATGTTGATTTGGAGTGACTTGCTCTTTAAGGAACGATTTCAATGGTGGCAATTAAAAATGTTATGTAGTATTTAATTTTATACTATAAACCTAGCATTGCAGATACATGTGCTTGAGTTGAACATAAAATTATAACAAAGCAGGTGTCCAAATATTTCAGCACAGGGCCAAAATCAAGTTTAATGTTCTCAAATGCCACAAAAATGTCATTTGTAATTTTTAAAATGCTAAAATTAGTTTTTAGCCATGACGACAATGATCCTGATACCATGTTTGTATTGCATTATGTGAGCTAAGTGGGCCAATATTGTGTTAAAGACTGAAAAATGACTAACCTTTGAAACAAGCAGGTTTACCATTTTTAATATTTGCAACAGAACATGCATCTTCAGTTAGTGTTAAACACAATGTCGAACGATGTTAGTCGTGTGTCCAACTCCAGAAACAGGGTTTGATATTGGAAATGGATCCTGCTGAAACCTTAAGAAAAATAGTTTACATTTCAAAACAAAACCACTGATGCAGCATTCAAACCAGTCTGAAAAAATTCATACCGTTAACAATCACTTGAACTTTGCTCCATCCGATCCTTCTGTATTATGGGGTGTGGTTTTATATTCTCCATCTCCTGGCAGGGTTCCGGTCGCGATTAAAACCCTTGTCTTGACCCTGCTGAATTGTGATGTAACAGGTCTTTGACAGGAGCGCTGTAGCCCTGGTGGGACGCTTTCTTAACTTGGCAAATGTGTTAGCAAAAAATTGTGATGATTTAGGGAATTTTGATGGAATTGAGCGCAACGTGCTCTTCCAAACTATACAGTTTGAATCCAGAGGATCAACCTCAAACTCTGAAGGCCAGAAAGCAAGATTTGTAGGGTCTGAAAACATCCTAAAGACATTTGGCTGGTTGTAAGTCTTCATAAGGCCAGCTTTTAATGCATCCTCATATCCACCATTTTGGAAAAGGAACCGGTCTTGATCAGAGATTGAGTTCAGCTGATTCCTGGCCGTCTTGGGCGAGACTTCTTTCTGGGTTGAATCTGTTCCTCTAGGTTTTGCTTTGGTATTTTTATTTTGCTCCTGCAGGGAATAAACCACATTTTGAATGTAGAGAGGATCCACTTGAACATTCTGGTATCCAAGATGGCCTGAATGTTTGGTTGAGGTGTAAGGTTTTACATTAAACTCCAGGTTGGATTTATCCAGCTCCTGATGAGGTTTATACAGAACATTTTCTCTGAAATCCTTTTGATCTCTTCTCTGTGGTAAACGATCTTTAGGGTTTAACAGTGATCTAGCAGATGCGGTCATCTGTTGTGTGGGCGCATGGCAACCATGGTTTGATTTATTGTCAACACTGGATTGACACGGGGAGGTTTTTGCCGTTTTCTTCTTGTTTTTGGCTGCAAAATTTGGCAAACGCATTTTATTTTTCAGTACAACGTGACTGGAAGATGGTGGCCTCTGTTGGGAAAATACACCAGTGTGTGTCACTTGGTGGAGATCTTTGCCATAAGAACCATCTGATGGGTAACCTGATGATAAATCGTTAATGTGATGCAAATATTTTGGCTTTTGGATGTTTTGCTTATATGATAAAGGTACTGAACGGGAGCTCTTCCCTGAACGGGAGCTCTTCCTCGTAAAGAAGCTTGAATCTTGAGATGGTCTGTTTGAAGTGTCAAAGAAGGAGTCAGTCATGTGACCAGTAACAGAATTATCTCCAGGAAATGATCGTGAGGGAGACAGAGTTTGTTCTGGCTGCTTGTAGTTTGAACGAATGTGGTTAGAAACCCTCACAGGAAAGCCACTGGGTCCACCAGAGAGACCAACATCAGCCGTTTCATTAGAAACAAACTCAGGAGCTCCTAAATGGTTGTTCGGGTGGGAGACAGATCGCTGGCTAAATACTTGGCTGTCATGAGCATTAGAGGAGAAAATATTTTCTGGAGAGTAAACAGGAATATTTGAAGAATGGTGTCTGCCTGGTATCTTGTGATCATCCAGTCTGCTCCAAACTTGATTTCTATCAGCTTTATGTACAGAACCAGGGTGGCTTTGTACCATCTTTCCACTAAAACCCCTAACTGGATTTAAATGCTGCATGTTTCCACTCTCCAATGAAACAAAGCTATGTGGCAGAATATCATTTGTTTCACCCTTGTCGTTTGGCTTTAAAATTTCTCCAGAAGACAAATGACTAGAAGGTTGTGAGCTTCTGTACAGATGGTACTCATGTGCAACAGTATAACCTACCAGAGAAGAAACACATTTTAAATTCTCTCATTTTGCAAATAAAGAAATCACGTAAAAATCTTTTAAACTCACCAGTTTGTGGAGCAAAACAAATGCACCCCCATAGCAGCATGCATAGCCAGGAGACTCTGGAAAAACAAGGTTTGAAAGACAGAAACTAGCAACACATATTAAGTTAAAACATAATATTACATTTATACATACCTAAATGGAAGAGCCATGATGATGCATTCATCCACAGAGTCCACCTACAGATGTGAAACCAGCAGATGCTTGATTCAAGTTGCAGCTTGGCTGTGTGACAATCTGCCTAATTAACTGCAGCTGCAGCAGCCGTTCAGAAGGGCACATTTTGAATTTGTTTTGTTTTTTGAAAATGTGCTTTAATAATAATTCCTCTTTATTTGGCGAAGGCCTCAGCACTTTCTCTGTAGGAGTGAACAAAGAAACAAATGCATGAGAATATCCTATTTCCCCTGCAGTCACCAGTTATCTCCACCATTCCATGTTAAAAGCTTCAAGTTGTGAAAAAAAAAATCACTTTTTGGAACTATAGATAATTTATTTATTTGATACATATTACTACGTTATTTGAAACTCTACAGTTGAATTATTTAACCCTAATGCAAACCTGTTCACTGAGTTAATGTGATTGGTCTTTGGTGACAGGATGTGGAAGATGTTCACCAGATAGAGAATGAGCTGGCTCGGAGGATGGAGGAATATAAAGATGCACTTTGATGGGAATTCCCAACATGTTCCTCTCACCAAATGTTGTTCCGGACAAAATTACGCAAGAGGAGGAAAGCTGGTAGGTGAAAACGATTTCTAAGTGAAGAAATGACTCTCAGCGGTGAAGCCAGAGAAAACATGTGGTTAAAACTTCCAATCATTTGTTCCCTGCTGACTTTTCCCAGTCCAGTGACTCATGTTGTCCTTCTCCCAGTTTAAATCTTGGGTCAATCCAGACTAGCTTGACTTGTTGTTTTGTTGTGAATGAGTTCATGGTTTTTCTTTTTCTTTCAAAATGCCTTCTGACTGAAAATTGGCAAGAAAAATGATTTTTGATTGTTTCTAACAAAGTCTCTTTTTTTTCATGTTCAGCTGCTATTAATAAACCTGAACCTCCAGTCTCCGCCGGCTGCACGAGGCGCATCGCAGCTGCCTGGCATGTTGCTGCAAAAGACTCAAGAAGGGCAAAAGAATACTTTAAGGCATTAAAACCCATTGAATTACATTAACATTTATTCAGAATGATCACTTCTAAAACTAGTTAAGTTTATTATGAATATCTCAGAGTTTAGAAATGAATTTGGCTGAAATCAGGAAGATGCTCTTTCTCTAAAGTTTCTGAACCTGATTAACTCACACTCTAAGAGGTGATGGTCCTGTTAAAAAAGCTGCAGATGAGATCTGCTACATAAACTCTGCTGTAAATGATTATCCAGTCTCTGATAGACATTAATCAAAGTCACTTCCAGCTCATTGTGGTTTTAAAAGCATAAATATGCTAAACATGCATCTACATGCAGCATATATATGGGTGTGTTTCTCACAAGAGCTGCTCCAGCTGCTATTATTGGCTTGCAATTACCAACTGCCACATCTGTTTGTATTGGATTTATGTCTGCTGGCAAAGTGAGAATAGTGTTGGCATCTGTGAGGAACCCTTCTCCTGATAAATAGAGCTTTTAACATGACTATGTTTGGAAACAGGTCAGAGCTGCTTGTCCACAGCACACTACCTTAAAAAGTGGCAGAGGTGAGAGAGGACCGTGTAGCCTGTTGAGTAAAAAGTCTTTCAACCCTGACATTTATTCACCCAGAATGTTGATCCTGAACATTTTATGCATTTTTTTCTCAGATATTTCAGTATTGTGGTCCATCTCAACCTGCGCTGCTGCACGCCTTTAAATTGGCCCAGCCTGCAACATATCTGAGTTTTTCATTGTTTTCAGTACCCATGTATAGCTAAAATAGTAAAAAAAATAAAATAAAAATTGTTAAAATATTGGCATTTCTAACAATTTGAATTAAGAGACATGATACAATATGTAACAACATTAAGTGAAAATTGATTAAAAAAGTCTTTAAGATGCAACATTTATATCAGGACAGTCTGATTATCTGATATTTCTGTGGCACCCTCAAGGGACTCGGCTCCAGCTCCTCCTCCACCTCTCCCAGGGCTTCTAACGGTTTTCCCCAAAGCTCGGGATCCATTTGGTCTTGATCCGGCCCGCTCAGCTGTCTGTCTTTAGGACACTCTCTGTTGTAGGAATGCACGTACTTCTCCACTCTCTCACCGGCATGTTCCAGAGGAGAGTGACACAGCAGGCCCGAGTGCTTCACCCCTGGATGTAGACGTAGCCAGTAAACCATGTAGTGGATGCTTGAAATAAAAAGGAGCGTTTAGTCATTGTTTTTATGAGTCTAAATACATTTTAGTAAATGCTTGAAAAGAAAAAAAACCCACTTGTAGTCACAGAGCCAGGGATTTCCTCCCAGTTTTAGCTGTGACAGGAAGTAAAGGTCTTCAAGAACCCCATACTGAACAAAACGCAGTTTGTTGTTGGACAAATCCAGCTCATGAAGATGCAAAAGCCCAGCTAGTGAACCTGAGTGGAAAAAAAGAAGATTTTTCCACTTCGAATAGAACTGACTGGACTCACCTGGGTCACAAATAAACAGATCCACGTGAGGTCGGTGATTACTTTCTATCTGCAGCTCTCTCAGCAGTCGCTGTCATAAATAAAGCTAACATTGTATACACAGAGATGGCTGGACGCCTGCTACCTCTTCAAAGGAAAAATTAGAAAACGAGGTAGATGTTTATATGTTCCCAAGTTGACGTTTATGTCTCTCCATATGTTCACTAACATATGAGCAAACGTGCACATGTGAAGGATGATTGTGTGCGCATATGAACACACCCACCTGTGTCTATGTGCTCCATGTTGTTGTTGCTGAGGTTAAGGACTCTGAGACTTCTCACTCCCTGAAAATCTCTTGGTTTAAGATGTCGGATTGAATTATGGGACAGGTTGACCTGAACGACATCTTCGGGTATACCTGAAGGCACCTGAGTTAGACCTAATGACAAAGAGGATAGTTACTTACGTGTGTGTGTGTGTGTGTGTGTGTGTGTGTGTGTGTGTGTGTGTGTGTGTGTGTGTGTGTGTGTGTGTGTGTGTGTGTGTAGGGGGGTCAATAGCATTAAAAAAATGGAGAAAAAAAAACTGAAGCCTCATAATTCAAGTCTCCTGCCACTGAGGTAAACTGTTGTAATAACTTGATCTTGTTTGTATATGAAGAAAATGTTTTTAGAAGTACCTCCTATTAATCAGCATTACGAGAGAGAGCAACGTTAACCCTGAATAAAAACGCTCGCCAAACCAGATGTGTCGTTCAGCATCTCCACGTGAACTTCTTTTGAGAAATGGAAGTTCAGTCATGCAGCAGTGATGATTCATCATCTGCTCTCTGACAGGTCTGTCATTTCTCTCAGCCCCACGTGTGACAAATGAATCCAAATGATTTTAGGCTCAGGATCGGTGCTTCAAAATGAACTCGCCTCGGTTGCTGCAGTCCATTTGTACTTTTGGAAAAAAGTAGGTGTGACAGAGTGTCGTAGCATCTGATTTGCTGCGGATTGGACTTGGCTCTATAGGGTCTGTCATGTTGCCATGTGGATCCCCGGGAGACTCTTCACAGAGTAGATCAGGATTAATATTCTTCAGTTTCTTGTTCTTTAGACTGATTGGCTCTGCACACCTAGCGGAGGAGATGTTTTTAAAGATCAACAGTCATCCAGAGACTCTGTTATTACTCCTGCACCTGGTAAACTTGTGCAATTACTTACCTAGCATGATTTCCAAAATTCCTGTTACTTGGAACTTGAAGAGTTCGAATGAGACTTTCCATGGGGCAGAGGCATTTCCAGGGATTGCCGTGCAAACGCAAATAACGAAGATTTGGAATGAAGATGAGAGCTTCTTCGCTGAGTGTAGTCAGTCGGTTATGTTGCAGCAGAAGGGTTGTGAGCTGCGTTAGGTCCTCAAAAGCCTGCTCCTTCACCAGAGAGATCTGGTTCTGTTGAAGGTCTAGACTAATTAAACTCTCATAGCCAGAGAAGGCTCCATCATGGAGGACTTTGATTCTGTTTCGAGCTAAAAGAAGGTGCTTGGGCATTTTGGACCAGGTGTTCGAGGCAGGAATAGAGGTGAGATATTGATCTTGACAATCCACAAAGTTTTCCCCAGATTCTGACAGCTCTGAACACGTAGGTACCACAAACCTGTCTGATCTGCTGTGACGCCCGACTCCTCTTACCATCTGCAAAAGTCTGCAAAAACACACAATTATAATTTTATCAGAGTTTCAGGAGGATGAAATATTCATATTGTCAACGAGAATAAATACACACCTGTCCTGTGCAAGTTTCTGCCTTGCACGTTTGAGGCCTCGGCCCTTCCCGGGTCTTTTCATCTCGGTGGAGGGGAGCAGCAGGAGGAGCAGGAAGGCTTGGTTCAGGAAGAGGATCACACGCATCCTGGACTTTGCAGGGGTTGTCTCTCTAGCAGCAAAATCTAAATCCAAAACAGGAGTTTGTGGTCAAAGGTCCTCGGGTGGAAGCAGAAGTAACAAGGTCAAACGGTGGCTGAGTTATTTTGATAGGAAACAGCTGCTGTTTACTGTGCAGAAAGTAAAAAAGACAAGAAACCTTTAATAATGTCATTCAAATAAAGCATTTAAACACTAAGAAAATGCTTGAATCGTTATGTTATTTTTTAAAAGCTGAAATATAGATATAATAAAAGATTTTTAGGTGAATGCAAAAACCTGCAGAAGCTCAAGTTAGTGTTATGGTGAGTAAACATTAGCATTAGCATTAATGAAAATAAATCAACTTTAAATAAAAGGTATTTGAAACTAGACCAAGTATTATTCATGTGATTAAAATTAATCAGTATATTAGTTATTTAGAGGAATGGCTGAAAATCACATTATTACTTTCATAATTGTAGCAAAATGAGTATTTTTTTTATCTTTAAAAAACTCTAAAATTAGCAGCTGTATTGTATTTGCCTGTCACCTTGTCACATTTGCTTCTGTTTTTTCTCTGATGTTAGGCTCAGGAAGCCAGCAAATTGCATTGGATTGCAAACATAAGTGAACAAGTGAAACATCTGTTCTTTAATAGGATACGATGGAATTGCTGAGGCCTGTGTCCCTTCCTGCCCTACTAGAGTCTTCCATGCACACTCGTAACAAACGACACCCTAAAAGAAATAGCCAGGTAAACCTTTGTATGATCAGTGGGTAATGCAAACTGTGGTTCCATCGTCTCACTTGTTTCTCAGAGATAAGTAATGTCTGATTATACGTGTCCTTTCTCCAGTTTTCTGCTTTAGTATTTACAGAATTGTTTTCTCATTTTGCATCTTCCTGCTTGTATTTAACATCTCAAACAGTCTGGTTTGTGTCAATGTAATGATTCAGAGGAACAAAGATTCATATTTTCTGAATTTTTTATCACTTCATTAACTATTTATGTCATATTTTACAGCAAATGATACATTTTTTGAAATTTAAAAATTACATTTTATAAGACTTTAACAACTTAAACAACACTATCCTTGCATTTATCTTAAGAGTGGTGTGAGACTCCAGAACTTGAGTCACAGATAAAGTTTTTCAGTACCTGACCACAGGAAAGCGTGCCTTCTGTCATCCACCTCAGTTTGTCCAGCTGCACTCAGGTCAGTTTGTTTTATGGTACTTTAAGTTTTGTAAATAACCAGTCCAGTAACGTCTGTGGACTTGATCACTGGTTTTTTTGTGTCCCGAGTCCTCTCCTGTTTGCACGTGTCCGCTCGTGTCTCCGTCTCCCCACTAGTGAGTTAGAACTCGGAGTGAGTGGGGAAAGATTTCATGATCCGGGAAAGTAAAAACGGCCTGTCGCCAAGTGGAGGGCTGGGTTTTATAAAGTCACCTCTGGCCCACACCCACCCCCTCACCATTTGCACACTGTGTAACATAACACACTCACCACACCTCTCCCCCTCTGGGGGTGTGCGTCAGTCTGGCTTCACATGCATGGTTTAGCCTAATGAGGCCCAAAAAATGTAAGGAATGATGGGAAAAACTGGGATTTGGACTGTTAATCAGATGTTTTTATCCATTTCCTCCCCAGATGAGTGTGAAGTTTCAGATACATTCCAGCTGGATGCCAATTACTCCGAGAGGTTGTGATCAATGACATGCCTACACTGTCAGGCAGCTGTGTTTTTGTGAGTTCATTTTCATTTGCAAAGTATTTTAGCTTTCAAAAAGCCAGCATGACACTTGAATCCACAAAAGGAGCTTGTAAACACCTCACCTGTTTTTTTTTACTTCCTGTACCAGAATGTTGTTTTGTACTTTTTTTACTCCTACAGACTCTACTCTCCAGATGTTCCTCTCTCTCTCTCTCTCTCTCTCTCTCTCTCCTCTCTCTCTCTCTCTCTCTCTCTCTCTCTCTCTCTCTCTCTCTCTCTCTCTCTCTCTCTCTCTCTCCTCTCTCTCTCTCTCTCTCTCTCTCTCTCTCTCCTCTCTCTCTCTCTCTCCTCTCTCTCTCTCTCTCTCTCTCTCTCTCTCTCTCTCTCTCTCTCTCTCTCTCTCTCTCTCTTCTCCTCTCTCTGACATTTCTCTTAACACCATTGCAGAAACAGCCAATCTAACAGCTTTTAGTAGAGGGTAAGATCTGTTTACACCCCTGTTGCTTTTTTTTTTCTTAAACACGTGAAAAGAAGGAACATTGATCTATTTATTCCATCATTGTGTGCTTTACGTAACAACAAGCTGAGCAACGTCAGCTGGAAATCCCTGTGCACCAGACCTGCAGACTACACGCTGCAGAATGCCCGAGAATGACTGATGACAGCCTAAGATTCGTGAAAATCCTCCAACACCTCATGCACCTGGACATCTCGTTCTGCAACAGGTGTGCACCTGTGCTCGCAGCAAATATCAACCCTGTATTTAATGTTTCAGGGTGAGCGATGTTGACTCAGCCAGAATCACACAACTGACAAGATGACCTCAAAAAAGGTAAGTAGTATGACTCTTAACCAGAACATTTCTTATCCCAATGTCACCACTAAACCAAATCTTCATTACATTACTTTGTAGCTCTTATTTCATGCATCAGTGGTGCCAAGAAACGCTTTGAGTGACTGCAAGAGGCTGAGTGTCAGCTCCATCCCTACTCTTGTTATCACTGGTTGTAACATCCAAGACCAGGTACTTTTACTCCTGTTGTTAGGCACTTCTGAAGTAAATTTAACTTGCCAAGATGGAGAGCAGTCTGTATAAAAGTGTTTTTACTTTTAGGGAATGGCTACACTTAGAACACATCTGAAGAAGCTAGTGCTTGCTGAGTGCATAAAACATCATAGATGTTGACTTTGATGTACAAATATTTTACCCCAAAACTGTATTTTTAGATATTTTAGTGCATTTATGTTAGTCCTTTAGATGAGCTAGTTATAGAACATCAAGAACGAAAAATAATTAGCTATTCCAAAGAAGTAGTTTTTACTTTCTCCTGATCTATGTGTGAAGATGAAAATGGGTTTTCTTGATTTATATTTTTCACACGGACATTTCTCATTTAGTGGTGTTTACAGCTGTGTCTGATGGAGCCTTCAGAGTCTTTTGATTTCACTGCAGAGGTCTGCTTTTAATGCACTCATTAACTGTCAAGTTGTGTTTGCCCATTTGGATATAAACAGACCTAAATAACGTTTGTAAAGGTAAGGCAGGAATCACAAATCACTGAAATCTATTTATTTGTTTTTCTGCAAAATTGTTATAGGTGTGGGGAAACTTGTTTATCCAATACAGAAGTGCTTGGATCAGCACAGACAAGTCTGCAGCAGCAGAGAGTGGCAAAACGCAGCAGGATTTAGAGTCTTATTTCCTGGATTTGGACATCTCGCCTCGGATTGGATAACAGCAACATGACTCTACCACTGACTTGCAACGTGGATGTTTTATCTCTACACATAACACAAGCCTGGAGGAGTTTTTCTGTGTGGTGGAGCTGCTAATGCTAACGGTTATGTTCTACTAGCCGAGACGTTCTCTGCCGTTTCCTGGACGCTAAACCAACAAAAGCCTTCCCCGTCGTGAGTCATGATGGGTGAGTCCATGAATGTTAAGTGAGAGTGTTATGCAGATCTAGCAGGCATTTCAAAAACTAGAGTTTCCTTGTCTATTTTGTTTCAGAAGCTAATGCAGGAGACAGGTGTAGGATACTATTTTCATGTTCAGCGTGCATGAAAAACTCACAGTGACCGATTATATTCAGAAATAATATTATTAAATCAAACTGGTTTTTCAGAGTTCCACATCTGAAAGAAAGAATACAGACCTGAAAGTTTACTTTACGACTACTTCATTTTTATTATTTACATGCAACTCGGGTGTGTTCACAAAAGGGAAAAAGCACAACGGACGCTAATAAAAAAAATTTATGCCTAAGAACATTTTAAATATTTATGGCAAAGTATGTATAAATGATTAAATTCATCAAATAGAGCTCCATTGTACAATTAAACAAATGAAATGCAAAAGTCTAAATGCTGTTTGAGACTTTCACACGCTTCAGCCACCCAAAAAAACATGAACAACCTGTTTTTTATGCTACACTTGATCTGACACCTGAGCTAAGAGCCTGTAGCAGTTTCCCAGACTCAGTGGGATCCGTGTGTAGGGCACTTTATTTATTAATAAAAATACATCCTGAGTACAATCTTAAATTATTGGATAAATAGCATCATTATGATCCCAGATTCAAGGACTCAAACCAGCTTTGTGTCCTGAGTTTGACAGAACCTCTGTCTGCCTGAGCTTTGATCCGCCGCTCTACTGGTGACTCTTCATTCAAACAGCCTGAGAGAAACACAGAGCAGAGAAGAAAAAGAAAAGGAACACAACGTTCTGTGATCATTTACTTGTTGAAAGTTTAAACTTGTGTAATTTTATCACAGTGATGTCACGTAATGAGCGCAATAGCTTACCAGAGATTGTAGTGCAGCTGTCAGTGGTGTTGTTTTCTACTCCGTGCAGAACTACCTCCGGGCTAATATCCACCGACGCTCCACAAAGATCCACACCAGCTCTTAACGAGGACGGGACACGCACACTCACATCTCCTGCAAAAACAATTAATCAAATGAAACAATCATACAAAAGATGCATCAGAACAAAAAAAAGGTGACAGGCGTGTTACATTAGCTACTTACCTTCCTGACTGTAGAGTTCAGCAGCACCACCGTCTCCCACATAAACATCAATGTCTCCGCTGTTAGAGGAAACCTTCAGGAAGCTATTGGAACCATCTGCAAAGCAACGTTTCAGGTGTTTTTATTTTTCTACCAGCTTCTGATAAAATCCACACAGGTGGGGGTCGCCATGCAGTCAACCAGCCTGCTTACCAATAACAGTGTCTCCACACGCATTCTCCACTGTAAGGTTCCCTGTAACCAAAGAAAGCACAACATCGGGCTTAGTTAGTGACATGTCACATTTTCAACTAGAACCCGAAACTTTATCATCAGACAAAGAAAATTCCAATCCTGCACAGCTGAGGTGAAGATGTCTCCGTGTGTTTAGTGATATGAGGCTCATTTGTATCAGGAAAAAATTTAAATTCCTAAAGGATGACACTATTTTTATTATTTTACATCACAGAGCTGTTTGCCTTTGCGATCAAAGATTTCATCTTTTAAAGCTAACTGGCCGTTTTGGCTTATCGTAAAACAAAATAGTTGGAAGATGTGTGTTAAATTGAGACCACATTGCATTTAAATCAACCGTCCTTGGATCTGAGCCCAGAGTTCTGTATGTACCATGATCTAGCTTTACCAAACAACCTAACATGAAGCATGTGTGCACAAGAATTTACTTAAAAGCAACAGCTTTCCTTGTGAAATAAAGCACAACGGCAGCCATAAATGCTCTTAAAGTTGTCACCCAAAAATATCACACACTGCAAAAAATACTAACAATCAAATAAAACATTTTAATAACAAGCATGTGTGCATTGCTCTTTTTTTGTAAACGTTCACTTGAGTGTGCCAATCAGAACTTTCTGAATATAACTTCCTCCGTCTGCACAGAGTTCAGAAGTAGCACACGCCACCTGCTGGCTATGAATCAGGATAAAGGCGTCCTAGAGGTGAGACATGGATGCAGATGTTTGCTCACCGTGTACATGCCCCAGTTCCACTCTCCCAGAGCTGGAGGAGACACAGCTGGACTCAGCATAGATGGCTCTGACCTTCAGCAGTCCGTGTTCAGTTGAAACATTCATAGTGGTGCCCTGGAGCTTCCTGACATTCACCACCTGCACAAAAAAAATGGCTTGAAAGCAAACAGATGAATAATTGTACATTTTTTTCTCAGCTATCTGCCGACATCAAAAACAGCAGAGATAAAAAAGAATCAGTTATGATGAAAAGTGCATCAAGCTGCTGCTGCCCTCTAATGACAGCTGAGAATAAGATCAGGGTGTTGTAATTCAGCTGTACTTACACCATCGCCTCTTGTGCTGATGTTCACATTTCCATGGATAGTTCCCACACCTGTAACATGTCCTCCATGAGCCTGTACCTCGACCTGATGACTCTAAAGTACAATAATTAAAACATTAGGAGAACTGATTACTTTTTATTACAAATTAAATTTATGTCAGTGCTTTTGCTGTTATGTTTACATACAACAACTAAGACAAATGTAACGAAAAACACATTTTTAGGATAAAATGATTTCCCTCTGTTTTATTAGGCAACAATTCTGAATTTGACTAATTTGTTGCTTTAATATTCTGAAATATTTTATAACAGAATTTTATACATAACATTTTTAATAGTTATATAATATAACTAATAAATTCTTGACTGCTTTGCTAGTACACCCATAATTTAGAGGGTTGCAGTCTGCACAGACACATGTTAGACTCACCAACCTTAATAGAATGAAGTAAACAATTTCCCTGTTGAGTTTGCACTTTACAGATGTCGCACTCCATCCTCTTCACCTGTACATTACCTTTTCCTTCAGCAGTGATGAAGATATCTGGCAAAAACGAACATAATTAAAAAGTGAATTTAATAATGACATGTTCTGTGCTGAGGGGTTTAGAAGCCAACTCACTGCTTTTGATAGGTGCGTCCATCTTTATCGTTACGTCACTGTTTACCTTTTTAGCTGAGATCATCAGCACTTTGCTCCGATCATCGTAGTGGACCTGTAACTGGCCCAGAGCGACGTTTTGGTCGCCGTCTGACCTGAGCACCGTGATGAAGGCTCGGTCAGCCTCTGGGTAAGCATGTGGGTCCAGCGGGTGGACGGTGATGCTGCAGCCTAGCTTGGCCCTCACGGTGGTGAAGGGGCTGACGGACAGAGCCCACTGCTGCAGAGGAGACTCATTGTGCGTCGGTGACGTTTCGGGGACAGAACCGGAGCAGAAGGACCGTAAAGTGATCAAAGGGCACCGGGGAGCTGTGAGACACTTGTGGGACCAGCAGCGATGGAGCCCCAGCGATCCTCGTTGAGCTGCTGATGTCCAAAACATCTCTGTTGGTGAAGGAGAACTACTCAAACTACCGCTGATAACACAAGCTGAACACGCTGTCACGTAGCCGTGTCTGGTTACAGGTGTTTACTACAAGAAACATGAACATCCGGTTAGTTTTCAAAATAAAAGCTCAGTCCTATCATTAGAATCAGGTATTTCTATTGCTAAATGTGCGAGAATCACAACATATCTGTTAATTGTCTACTTAAATACGTTTTAAATTAATATTATTCCTCTTCACATTAACTAAATTAGTAGAGATTGTTTGGGAGCATAATAACCTCAGTTCTTATTTTAGTTATCCACGAGTCTTCTGTTTTTTTAAATCTGTACCTAAACCATTGACATATATACCTAAACGTATACACACGAACGTTTGTTTGACCACGTTTTCTTGTTACTTAATCAAAACACAAATTGTTAAGACTGTTAGCATCATCAACAATTAGTTACGTCATAACCCTTTTTTATGCATTTATCGACAATTATTCATTATATAGTGGGAACCATATACTATTCCTTCAGATCAAAACCACTCACACTTGGATTTAGTCCATTATCAGAAACTTGACACACCGGATGTACATGTTTGTGTAAGTTTGGCTCCGCCTTTTGTCTGCTCTTAACCAATCATCCGAAACAGTATGTGACGTCATGTTTAAGCGAAGCGTTTTGGGAATTTGAGTATTTGCTTTTTCACTATCAGTTTTTAAATATAGTTAAATAAATTGAAAAAATGCAGACATTAATTTAATGTTGTTTTTATTTGTCTTCCAAACAATAATTATATTGAATCATATTTAAAAATCAACTGGCCGCCAAATAATTGTTGCCACAAACCCGTCAGATTTTCACTTCATACAGCTAGAAAAATAGCTTGTCTCACATTTTAAACTCAACAACAATTCCGCTTTAAAATTATTACAAAAGACACAAAACAAGCAAATTATTTACATAATCAGTCCTTTCAGTTCAACTTTCCCAATTTAAATGCCAGAAGGGGGCAGCATTGTGTTGAAAATTAATAATACGTGAGTTAAGAATAAAATATTTATTAACAGATTCATTTTATAGTTTTATTTTTGGTTATTGCCCTGAAAGGGAGTCGCAGCTTATTGCATAAAGGCTTTAGGTCTGATCATCATCCTGACTGACTTAAAAGACAGTCTCTCATTAGTGGGGTAGTACTCCTCTGATATATTATACCAGGTACCCCAGAAGATCCCATCCCGGACTCCTCTATATTTCCCATTATAATATCTCCCGTTGAGGTTTGCAGCCATGCAGGCATCAAACCACCACCCGGAGCTGTAATAGGCCCCGCAGTTCCCAGACGGATAGCGGTCGTGGTCCCTGTCCGGAGTGGTGAACGCCCTGTTGTTGTGGTCGTATCTCTTGCTGAAGCGCAGAGCATCACCTGCTGTTCCAGAGTAACCGTCTACTGTCAGCCTGTAGCGCAGCCGCTCACCGGCCACCCTGAACAGCTCGTACTGCGCGAATCCCGTCACTCCATCAAAATCCTCCAGCTCCACCCGCAGCATCATGTCCCTGTCGCGGGTGAGCAGGTGGATCATGTTGTTGCCTAACCAGAACTCTCCTCCATCCAGCACTCCGAAGCCGGTCTGGTACTCCATCCAGGTGCGGTTGAAGCTGACGCTGCCGTCCTGTCGGCTCTGCAGGAGGGTCCACCCTCCTCCACCCAGCACCATGTCACAGAACACCGGGAAGCTTCTGCTCCGGAGGTCGGGGGTCACCAGGTAAACCCCGCTTGTAGTTTTTCCTCTCAGCAGGAGGTCCGAGCAATCTCTGGGTACTGTGAGGAAAAAATCCATTTAAAAAGGACATAGACAGGGGCAGTTCTAAGGAGAGTGATGACAGCTTAGACCCCCCCCCCCCTGTGCCCACCCTTGTGCTTAAATAGGACATAATTGATTTCTTTTGTGATATTTTCACTTAATGAAAGGTGTGAAACCACAGCATGTGAATGCATTTTTCTTTAAATGAAAAGTTATTCTGAGATGAATATTTTCATGTTGTTACTGAGATAGACAAGCTGCAATGGCAAATCTGTAAAACAAGCTAGCTTAAAACATTTTCTCTTACTGCTTAACAACATTCTAATGTGGCAAGGTGGAGAAACAAGGGTCCGGTGTCATGATCTTCAGTCATCCTGCCTCTCTGCATTGCTGTGCCCCACCTAACTATGCTCACCTGTTGCTTGATGATGGTCTGTCTAATCATTTCCACCTGTGTCATTCAGGACATAAGCTTCCTCCAACCACTACTCTGTGCCAGATTATCTGAAGCTCTTGCAGACAAAATCCAGCCTTTACCAAGCCAAGCATGTCTACATTTTTTGACCCTGTTTCTGCTCCCAGGACTCCTGCCTTTGCCTGCTAAGTCCCACAGACCTGGATTTCCCAGCTATCGACCCCTGCCTCCTCTCTGATTCCTCTCTGCCTGCTGGACCTTGGTGCCTTCCTGATATCTGACCCCTGTGTACCCACCTGGACTGTACTCATGACCATGCCCCCTGGATTGTCCTCCCATGGAGATTACTAACCATCTGCTCTGTTTATGTTGCTGCTCGTCAGGAAACTGTCAGCAGTCCAGCAAACGGTTCCTGTGCTCAGCATCTGGGACAGAGCAATAAATCCTCATCAATAAAGATCTATTACTGCTTTATTCTGGTGTTGGCTGAGTTCTTGGGTCCGATTCACTCCAGGTTCTGGTTCTGACACCCGGGTGGGATTCGATCCCTAGACTCCCAGATGAGTCACGTGCACTTACCAGTCAACCAAAGGGACATCCCCTTGGCCAAGTAGCCATGGCGCATGATCAATTGGGACACAGTGACAGGATGCTCACACTGTCACATCTTTACCCCCCCCCCCCCCCCCCCTTCCACAAGCATGTCCTCGTGCTCCCGTGCAGAGTGCAACAAATTTCACATCCATGGACCTATTTGACAGTACTACATGGATCCTGTTCGTGACGCCAAATGTAACGAGGGCCCGGGCGGGATTTGATGCCCAGACTCCAAGGAGAGTCATGCACGCTAACCAGTCAGCCAAAGGGACATCCCCTTGGCCAAGTAGCCAGGGTGCGTGATCAAACGGGACACTGACAGGACACTCACTGTCACACTAACATATTTTGTAGAGGGAAAAATAAACAAAGTGGTTCTCTGGCATTTGTCTAAAAACTTCCATCGTTAACACAGCTTGTCCGAAACCAACGATTGGACCATCCAGTTGCAGTTAATTATTGAAAAACTTGTATCTAACAGTTCTAATCTAATTTCTATTGCTGTAATCACAAAAACTGGAAATACTTAAAAGCATGTTTGTAGTCTTTTTTTTTTTTGTCTAAATCCTGGGGCACACCGGAGGCAGACGTGCTGTCACGTCGTGGTTTTGAGAAGTCAAATGATCACAAAGAACGTGCCATCGAGCGCTTCTTGGGAAGTTTCGCGATAGTCACAACATCACGTGAGACACTTGGAACAGGAAGCTGGAAGTTACTCTATTGATGCGTGATCAGACTGGCCGTCATTTACAGAGACTAATTCATTAAAAATGGCTAAATGCCTTGTTTATCAGAATATTTTAAGATCTATAGGGAGCCTAAGTCTCCTCCCTTTCTGGTCGGCTCATGGGTCCCCGGAAGAACGAAAAAATTGATGCAAGTCAACGGGGCTAAAAGAGCTATTTTCTAATCCACTTTGCCTTACGCCCTTGATCGCACATATGTTGTAGATGAAAACTAATGATGCGTGTTTTTACCTTGCCTGTCACGTACTTTGAGATTTATCAGCTTGTAAAAGTTCGTAATTAGCATGACTACAAACAAGACATTGGCACGTCGCATATATCACATTAGAATCTCCTCTGCCCCAGTGTAGCTGCTACTTATCAAATGGTCAGATTTATGGTGGCTCTTTCCTCCCGAAGGAAGAATTTGAGGCTCGCTGAACTTACAGCCATTTTCCTTCTGTTTTTCTCTGTGTATAATTCGAGGACGTCACTTTCATGAAGTGCATTTGTAGTCCTGGACTTATTTTCACACAGAACCTAAAATAATGTTTCCCCATTCTAAAATAAGTGCGTTCTTGGTATCAAAATGCTTCTTAAAATTCACGGACATCGTAAGTGAAATCCACGGCACATAACAAGCAGAATTAGAAAATAGCGTTTTTGGCCTCATTGATTGCATTACTTTTTTCGTTCTTTCGTGGACCCATGGTCCCATGTAAATGAGCGTGACTTAGGCTCCCTATAGTACTGTATAGTATAGTATAGTGCCGTACCACGCCGTAATGTTTGTTGAGTACTCCACAATGTTGTAAACATAGAACTCGCGCCTATCTATGGTGCGTCGGAACAGCTCTTCTGAGAAGCGGCGCTCCCCATGTAGCCACTCTCATCAACTATAATGGCATCTATGTAAAATGACGGCACAGACGCTGTGCGGATGCGGCGCAGGTGCGGGCGCAGAGCAGCACGTCTGCCTCTGGTGAGCCCAAGGCTTAAAATCCTATTGCAGCTTGAATGTAACCATAACAGTTGTTGGAATGAGGTCATACAGATGCAAAAGGTCAGAGATGTTAGAGGTGGACCTTCAGTGTAATTATAAGACAAATCAATTGTAAACATTTAAATACATACATTTAGTAACATAACTTAAATTAAGTCGATGTGATTGAGAAAATAGAACATTTTCTCCTGTCATTGTAAGATTAGCAGGACACTCCTATCATTTACTTTAATCGTGTTAGTGATGAGTAAATAAATTAATATATAAAGTCAATAATTCATCACAAGGATGTTTTAAAGCTGTTGTTTCCTACATTTTTGTGGTTTTAGCTTCACTACCGTCATGCAGAGCTACACATTTTGCACCCACATGCAGATTCTTCCTTTGACAGATGATAGCCATGATGTATGGCATGAAGATGATCTCAGACCACACAATCATTTTTTTAATTATTATGTGGGGATCATATAAGTTTATTGTGTGCACTTGAAATGCTTTCATTAATTTGCCAAGAGGGTTTTCAACATCCCTCACCTAATTATCTTGACACATGCAGATAACTGACTTCAAATTGTTCCTGTGAAGCAGCTGATTAATTATTTTGTTGTTTTTTTCAGAGCCTAATTAATTTGTGTTGTTTTGTTAGTTTTCTGATGGAAACAAAGGAAATAATTGCAGAAACTTGAACATGCTCTCTTACCTTTAGATGATACAGATGTTGGGAGCCTTCCATTGATCCTGCCAGGCAGGCTGCCACTCTGGGACCCCTCAGGGCGCTCCTTTGGAAGTCCACCTCCCAGTCTCCCATTAGGATTCAGGCTGTTGTTGACAAAAGCCGCCACCTGGTTAATTTTCACCCTTAGCTCTCGTGCACTGGGAGTGGATGTCTGTGCAGCAAAGGGCTTGGGGTCAGAGGTTGTGGAGGCCTCTGACCTCAGGTCAGAGCTGGGTGTGAAGGTAGAATCCAAACTGCTGAGGACTGTGGTTTCAGGTGCAGTCTCCTTCACATAATGAAGGATTTTAGTCTCTATGAGGGAGTCAGATTTTGGAACTGGACTTTGTTGCGTGGGTCCTGGATTGGTGCTAGTGAAAACATGACGGAGCATCCCACTGGAGACTGTGTTTGGTCTTGTTGTCATTGGGATAGAGGGTGGCTGACTGGCTGTTTGTGGCCTCAGATCAGACGCAGTCCTGCTGTTTGGACTCAACATGATGTCTTCTGCGTTTGTGTAAGGGTGAGGGAGGTGTTCAGCATTCAAGCTGTTAGAGGTCTTTGGACCCAACATGTGGGTTTTTCTTGTGCTGGTGCTGGATGTCTCTCTTGGGGAATGAGTCACTTCAGCAATCAGTTTTCCAAGGTCAGATGGAGATTTCACATCAGTTTGGGAGTTTGGGATGTTTTCTGAAGGGAGCCCGTTGGTTTTGGATGGGTGTAGAGCTGTTTTTGTCTTTGGACTTGGTGCTGGTTGTATTGGTTGTTTTGGCCTTTGAATGAGTTTTGGTCCTGGCTTGCCAATGTGTCTGGATGGTGGTCTGAACCGAAAGGGAGGCCTTGGTTTGGAGGTTCTGTTGGACTCTGGTGTTGGAATTTTTTCATATAGAGATACAGGCTTTAGGTTGAGTTTTTGGCCTGGTCTGGGTGTTCTAAGGCTAGAGTTAGTTTGTGGTGTGAGGACTGTCATAGGGTCTGTATCTGGTTTATGCTTTAAACCCATCTCAGCCTTTGGATGTTTTGGAGGAAGATTTGGTTCTGAACCAGGTTTAGGTCTTTTGTTAATGCTAGAAACATTATGAACATGTTTAGGATTTTGACCAGAGGCAGGTGTTTGTCCAGATGTTAACTCTTGATTGGATATAACTTTTTGTAATTTGTGAGTGGTGACTGTCTTCTGGTCATTTCTTGATGAAGCAGTTTCACTTTTAGATTCAGGGTCTTGGGTAGACTTAAGTTGTTGTTTGATTTCCTGACTGGGTTTATCAATCTGATCAGACGTACCATTAATTAAATTAGATTGAAATTTTTGTTCAGGTGTTAAATCTAGATTCAATTTGGGTTCATTTGATGGAATTTCTTCAGATCCATCCACAAATTCGGCTAAAGGCTTTGATGTAGCTGTTTCACTCTCAAATTTAGGCTCCTGGGATGGTTTAGGTTTGGTTTTAATTTTGATTTCCAGCCTGGGTTTATTAATCTGATCAGGCACAACAGTACCTCGATCAGATGTAATCTTTTGTCCAGGTGTTAAATCTGGATTAAATTTGGGTGTATGTGGAGGAATTTGATCTGAGCTACCCACAAACTTGGTTAAAGGCTTTTGCTTGTGTTTTGGTGTTGCTGTTTTACTTTTAGATTCAGGCTTTGGGATAGGTTTAGGTCTGTATTTAATTGTTGGTCTTCCTTGGATGGATTTATTCATCTGATCAGGTCTTCCTTGGATGGATTTATTCATATGATCAGGTCTTCCTTGGATGGATTTATTCATCTGATCAGGTCTTCCTTGGATCGATTTGTTTATCTGATCAGTTCTTTCTTGGATCAATGTATTAATCTGATCAGTTCTTTCTTGGATCAATGTATTAATCTGATCAGGTCTTTCTTGGATGAATTTATTCATCTGATCAGGTCTTTCTTGGATCGATTTGTTCATCTGATCAGGTCTTTCTTGGATGGATTTGTTGATCTGATCAGGTCTTTCTTGGATGGATTTGTTCATCTGATCAGGTCTTTCTTGGATGGATTTGTTGATCTGATCAGGTCTTTCTTGGATGGATTTGTTCATCTGATCAGGTCTTTCTTGGATCGATTTGTTCATCTGATCAGGTCTTTCTTGGATCGATTTATTCATCTGATCAGGTCTTTCTTGGATCAATGTATTAATCTGATCAGGTCTTTCTTGGATCGATTTATTCATCTGATCAGGTCTTTCTTGGATCAATGTATTAATCTGATTAGGTCTTTCTTGGATCGATTTGTTCATCTGATCAGGTCTTTCTTGGATCAATGTATTAATCTGATCAGGTCTTTCTTGGATCGATTTATTCATCTGATCAGGTCTTTCTTGGATCGATTTCTTAATCTGATCAGGTCTTTCTTGGATCGATTTCTTAATCTGATCTGGTCTTTCTTGGATCGGTTTATTCATCTGATCAGGTCTTTCTTGGATCGATTTGTTCATCTGATCAGGTCTTTCTTGGATCGATTTGTTTATCTGATCAGGTCTTTCTTGGATCGATTTGTTCATCTGATCAGGTCTTTCTTGGATCGATTTCTTAATCTGATCAGGTCTTTCTTGGATCGGTTTATTCATCTGATCAGGTCTTTCTTGGATCGATTTGTTCATCTGATCAGGTCTTTCTTGGATCGATTTCTTAATCTGATCAGGTCTTTCTTGGATCGGTTTATTCATCTGATCAGGTCTTTCTTGGATCGATTTGTTCATCTGATCAGGTCTTTCTTGGATCGATTTATTCATCTGATCAGGTCTTTCTTGGATCAATGTATTAATCTGATCAGGTCTTTCTTGGATCGATTTATTCATCTGATCAGGTCTTTCTTGGATCAATGTATTAATCTGATTAGGTCTTTCTTGGATCGATTTGTTCATCTGATCAGGTCTTTCTTGGATCAATGTATTAATCTGATCAGGTCTTTCTTGGATCGATTTATTCATCTGATCAGGTCTTTCTTGGATCGATTTCTTAATCTGATCAGGTCTTTCTTGGATCGATTTCTTAATCTGATCTGGTCTTTCTTGGATCGGTTTATTCATCTGATCAGGTCTTTCTTGGATCGATTTGTTCATCTGATCAGGTCTTTCTTGGATCGATTTGTTTATCTGATCAGGTCTTTCTTGGATCAATGTATTAATCTGATCAGGTCTTTCTTGGATCGATTTATTCATCTGATCAGGTCTTTCTTGGATCGATTTCTTAATCTGATCAGGTCTTTCTTGGATCGATTTCTTAATCTGATCTGGTCTTTCTTGGATCGATTTCTTAATCTGATCAGGTCTTTCTTGGATCGATTTCTTAATCTGATCAGGTCTTTCTTGGATCGATTTGTTCATCTGATCAGGTCTTTCTTGGATCGATTTCTTAATCTGATCAGGTCTTTCTTGGATCGATTTGTTCATCTGATCAGGTCTTTCTTGGATCAATGTATTAATCTGATCAGGTCTTTCTTGGATCGATTTATTCATCTGATCAGGTCTTTCTTGGATCGATTTCTTAATCTGATCAGGTCTTTCTTGGATCGATTTCTTAATCTGATCTGGTCTTTCTTGGATCGGTTTATTCATCTGATCAGGTCTTTCTTGGATCGATTTGTTCATCTGATCAGGTCTTTCTTGGATCGATTTGTTTATCTGATCAGGTCTTTCTTGGATCAATGTATTAATCTGATCAGGTCTTTCTTGGATCGATTTATTCATCTGATCAGGTCTTTCTTGGATCGATTTCTTAATCTGATCAGGTCTTTCTTGGATCGATTTCTTAATCTGATCTGGTCTTTCTTGGATCGATTTCTTAATCTGATCTGGTCTTTCTTGGATCGATTTGTTCATCTGATCAGGTCTTTCTTGGATCGATTTCTTAATCTGATCAGGTCTTTCTTGGATCGGTTTATTCATCTGATCAGGTCTTTCTTGGATCGATTTCTTAATCTGATCAGGTCTTTCTTGGATCGATTTATTCATCTGATCGGGTCTTTCTTGGATCGATTTCTTAATCTGATCAGGTCTTTCTTGGATCGATTTCTTAATCTGATCTGGTCTTTCTTGGATCAATGTATTAATCTGATCAGGTCTTTCTTGGATCGATTTGTTCATCTGATCAGGTCTTTCTTGGATCAATGTATTAATCTGATCAGGTCTTTCTTGGATCGATTTATTCATCTGATCAGGTCTTTCTTGGATCGATTTCTTAATCTGATCAGGTCTTTCTTGGATCGATTTCTTAATCTGATCTGGTCTTTCTTGGATCGGTTTATTCATCTGATCAGGTCTTTCTTGGATCGATTTGTTCATCTGATCAGGTCTTTCTTGGATCGATTTGTTTATCTGATCAGGTCTTTCTTGGATCAATGTATTAATCTGATCAGGTCTTTCTTGGATCGATTTATTCATCTGATCAGGTCTTTCTTGGATCGATTTCTTAATCTGATCAGGTCTTTCTTGGATCGATTTCTTAATCTGATCTGGTCTTTCTTGGATCGATTTCTTAATCTGATCTGGTCTTTCTTGGATCGATTTGTTCATCTGATCAGGTCTTTCTTGGATCGATTTCTTAATCTGATCAGGTCTTTCTTGGATCGATTTGTTCATCTGATCAGGTCTTTCTTGGATCGATTTCTTAATCTGATCAGGTCTTTCTTGGATCGATTTATTCATCTGATCGGGTCTTTCTTGGATCGGTTTATTCATTTGACCAGAGGTTCTGTTAACTTGATCAAAAGGCGGTCTCTTTTCAGATTTAATGTCTGGATTGAATTCCTGCTCCTTCAAAGAATTTTCATCAGTCATTTCCACTGTTAAAAGTTTCAGATCAGGTTTTGATGTTACTGCTTCATTTTTAGATTCAGGCTTTTGAACCAACTTGGGTTTGTGTTTAATTTTGGGGATTTCCTGTTTAGATGTATTCATCTGATTGAAGGTCGCATTGACTTGATCAAGTGTGATTTTCTGTCCTGACTGCATGTCTGTATTGGATTCTGGCTCCTTGTAGGAATATTTCTCTGATCTTTTCACAGACTCAGTTGAAAACACATGATCAGGTTGAGATGTAGTTGTATCACTTTCAGATTCAGGCTGGTGGCTGGGTTTAGGTTGTTTTCCAATCACCCCCTGAGTAGATTCATTAGTCTGACCAGAAGAGGCATTAACTTCATCAGATGTAATTTTCTTTTCAGGCATTAATTCTGGAATAAATGTAGGTTCAAGTAAAAGACTTTGAATAGATGTGTCTATTGTTAGAGGCTTTCCATTGGGTTTAGATGGAGTTGTTTCCTTTTCAACTTTAATGTCTAGAATTGTTTTATTTGATTCAGGAATACTATCAGGAGTTGCATTAACTTGATATCCAGGCTCCTGGATGGGATTTCCATCAGATGTTTCCACATTATCTGCTGAATGCTTTTCATTAGGTTTGGATGTAGCTGTTTCCCTTTTAGATCCAGGCTCTTGGATGCGTTCAGGTTTATGCTTAATTTCTGTAGTTTCCATGCTGGCCTGATTCATCTGATCAGAGGTCTCATGAACTCTGCTAATTGTTATTTTCTGTTCAGGCGTTAAATCTCGTATAGATTTAGCCACCTGTGAGGGATTTTCAACAGATTTGTTCGCACCCAAAAGCTTTTGGTCAGGTTTTGATGAAACAGTTTCACCTTTAGGCGCTTTGGTGGGATTGAGATTGTGTTTAATTTCAGCAATTGCCTGGCTAGAGTGATTTATCTGATCAGAAGTTGCATTAACTCGACCAGAAATCAATTTTTGTCCAAGTTTCAAACCTGGCTTCGATTCAGACTTCTGTGAATGATTTTTATCAGAATTTCTCACTGACTCACTTAAAGGCTTTTGTTTCATTTGAGATGTAACCAATTCTCTATTAGATTCAGGCTTCATTCCTGTAATTTCTTGACTGAAATTTTTCATCCCATCGGAGGTTGAATGAACTCTGTGAGGTGTCACTTCAGCTCCAGCTGTTGAATCTGGTTTGGATTTGGGTTCTTGTGAAGCATTTTCACCAGTTATCTCCGCTGATTCAGTTTGATGCTTTTGATTTGGTTTTGGTGTCAAATGTTCTGTTTCAGTTCTCGTTGATGTCCTTTGTGCAGAACTGGAGATTTGTTCAGTCTTGTCATCCAGTTTTGTTTTTTCTTCACTTTCCAGTGTTTTCTCAGTTTTTTTCTTTTGGTCAGGCTTGTTTGTTTTAAAAGGATGAATTAATTTTTTCTCAGGTTTTGAGTTTTGATCAACATCTGGAGTTTTATCTGACTCGAGGTCTTTGTTGCCTAAAGGATGTCCCTCTGAATGTGTTGAGTTTACAGGCTGAGGGATTTGAACAGAAGTTGGAGGCCTTTGAGGAGGTTTTGGTTTATGAAACTGTAGCTTGTTTCGAAGCGTCAGGTCATGTTGGCGTGTTAAATTGTTTTTCTGGTTTTTATTGGGTACTAAAATATAAGGAGGAGCCCTTCGATTGGGTTTGGTAATGTGGGTTTGTTTTGGGTCCCTGCCAGTTTTAGGTTTCTCAGATGTAGGTTTGTGAGGAGCAGACTTCTGCTTTTGATTGTATTTCGTTTTCTTGTCAGGAATGGGAGCTTGGTTAGGTTTATGGTCATTCTTTAGATTTTTGCGCTTTTGTTCTGCTTCAGGCTTAATTTCGGGTTTGATCTTTTGACCAGGCTTCAGTCCTGGGCCTGGTGGAGATTCCTCAACACTCCTTATGTTGGAACTGATGTTCTTTTTAGGTGTCCAGCGGCTGCGATCAGTAACGTTTGGTGATGCAGTCACACGTAAGGTTTGATGAGTTGTTGTAGTTGACCTTTCGTGACCCCGTGAACCTGTGCTAGGTTGCTCTGTTGTTGTTGTTGCTGTTGTTCCTGTAGCTGTTGTTACATCGGTGCCTTGGGTCTTAGAAGTATCGCCTGCTCTGTGGCTCAAGCTTTTTGTTAGTCCATAAACACCTTTGCTTTCATGACTGACATCTGTGATTGAGCTTAAAGTAAAGCTAGGGAAAGAAGGTGATGGAAGAGATGATGTCAAGGTTGTAACTTTGCTTGGGTCCAGCCTTGAAGTTGATCTCGTTATAGAAAGAGGAGTTGGGCTGATCGGAAAAAAGTCTGTCCTTTCAGTTGTTTTTCTGGAGGATAATTCTCCATCACCGTCTCTCTGCACACTCTCTGCTTTAATCTCCCTGTCTTTGTCATCCACCTCCCCCTCTTTTAAAGTCTTCTCTTTTCCTGAGCGCCCAGTGCTCTCAGTCTGTTTTGGGTTCTCGTTATTCCGGCCCACTATTATTCCCGTTTCCATTTCCTCCCTTGTCTCGCCCTCCTGTTCCTCTTGCTCCTCATTTGTATGATCTCCACGATTCTCGGACAGCTTGGTTTTATCGCCGGCTTCAGTTCTGCTTGTTTTGTTTATGTCTTCTTGCCAAACATGAATGTTGCTTTCTTCTTTAGTTTTCTCCTTGTTTTTCACGTTAGTCAGTGTCTTTTTTTCATCTTCGCTCTCCAGCTTATCCTCTTGAAACCCCTTCAAGTTTCCTTTAAGTGCATCTTTGATTCTGTCCACCTCCCTGTGATCTGTCTCAAAAACATTCTCACTTGTCACATCGACTGTTCTCGTGTTTCCACCAGCAGTTGGCGTCCTTTTCTGGTCCGAGACATCTTTTCCTCTTGCACCATCTCCTTTTGGTTTTCCATCCTTTGCTCTCACTTCTGACAGGCTTTCTTCCCTCTCTTTTTCTTTTACAGCTCCTTTGTTGCCCTTTCTGTCTGTTTCCCATTTGTGTCTTTCTTCCTCTTCCAGGATCACCCTCTTTTCTGTGTCTGTCTTCTCCACCTTTACGGCATCATTTCCACACTCGAGATTGAAATCTCTTTCGGTCTCTGGTCTCACATTCATCCAGTTCCTCACATCTGCGCGTGTACTCTTACCTTCCGTCTGCTTGTCATGCTCTCTTTCTGTTTGCCTTCCACACCTTCTGTCATTGTGGCTCTCACAACCTGCACACATCTTCCTCAGCTCATCAACGCTGTCCTTCAGTTTCTGCAGGTCCTGCATGATATCTTCCAGCTCTCTGAGATGTGGCAAATGAACAGTCAGTGGCGGCAGGCTTAACAGGTACGGGCACGTGCTCCCATGTTGCCCCTGTCTGCATGCTCCCTCTGGTTTCAAAGTTGCAGCGCAGGGTCCAAATCCACAATCACCCAGGAGGACTCCTTCCTCGGCTCTGATCCAAGGGAGGCTCGAGAAGGCCAGCAGGGTCCCACACACACACAGTGCTGTTAATCTCATTGTGTCTTGAGAAGAAAGAATAAGACTAGAGGAGGGTGAGGGTGTAAAAACACCCAACTCTGTGTGGGAAGCGCAGTGACAGTGAGAGGAGGAGGTGAGGTAGGAGGGAGAAGAGGAGGGAGGAGAACTGCAGCAAGATGAGAATCAGAGACGTCTCAAAACGGAAACAGGTGGGGGGGAGTAAAAGTAAACAGTTTTACCTGTCAGCGATAAGCTGGAAGTGTTGGGAGAAAAATAGCTAAATCATTTTGACCTTATCGCAGAAACAGACCTGACCCGAATAGTTAGAAATCGGTTTGCTTCTTACTGTAATCTCAGAGTTGCATCCTCATTTATCTTCACGTTACCTAATGAGGACCATTCGTCCCGCATTCTCCTCCCATTGTGTAATGATAAATGCATCACAGGCTTAAATGTACATGTGTGTCACAGTTGTTTTGGCCGCCGCTTCTCCGACTTCCTGTTAGTGCATCCACAAACATGTGAATGACAGATGTCACGGGCCAAAATATGCATTTGAAGCAGCGATATTAACAGCGGCGCCTGAGCCAAGGGGTTGTTACTCATAAGAGTGTATTTCATTTTACTGTAAGCTGTGTGTGTAATTGAGCTCTTGAGCAACAAAAGTCTGGATTATCACAGTTATCCAGGAGGGCTGCTGGATTCAAATGCAGTGCCAAATTAGAGTCAACTATCTCGTGTACCAATGACTTTATTCAGACTCAACAAGGGCTGTGAACGGATGGTGAGCTTTTATGTGGAGAGGCTGATCCCAGAGCAGACATACTCCATGATTTGGGCTCTTGGCTGAATCGTTTGCCAGAAAAAGAGAAAACAGTCACATGAGCTAAATCTGCTTGGTGGGGAGTTTGGATAATGAGGCTTTAGTTTCTCAGACCCCAGGTGTGGATGTCAGAACTACCACAGGGTGTAAGATGACTGGTAGTATGCAAAATCTAACTTTTCCAGAAATGCGTGCATTTGTAAGCCTTGTTAAACTACTTTGACTGTCTTATTTTTAGACTGAAACCTGACTCGTGTGTAGCTTTGTTCTGTCTCTGACGTTTCTCAGCTGTTCTCTGATCAATGGCAACAGCCACCATTAGGCTGAGCGAGGCTAATTTACCTCACTTAACACTATGACGACGAATGCTCACACTGCTGGAAAAGCCTGTAAGAAGATTAGCAACATGCTTCAAGCAGCTGTGTGCATTTTTGACGGTGGTATTTAGAAATGACAGTTTGCATAAACAACGGAGGTCAATCTGAAGTCCAGAAGAAAAAAAATCTTTGAGAAACTTTTAATGAACTTTTAAACAGATGTGATGACTATCTGAGAAAATTAATGGCACAGATTTGGAAAAACTCCACATTAATGTGGTTGTTTTAGGAGTTACGTTCTAGACTTACACCACACCCAAGCCATTTGACCAATAAAAAAACAGATTCATAAAAACCTGCAAATGTTTAAATCAAACACCAAACTGTCAGTAAAAGACAGTGAAAAGGTAACAGCTACAGGGTAATGATCTCAAACGGTTACCTGCAGCTACATTAGGAATTACAAGCTGATGGTTACGGTTTTTCTGTGAAAATAAATAAAATAAAAATAAGCTGCTCCATAAAACTGGGAGGTTTTCAAAGGAAATATAAAAAAGAATGACATTACCAATTAAAACTTTTACAGTTTCAGAACTTTTGCTCTCGGAACATTTTGTTATTTTGAACCTGTAAAATATTTAAATGGGTTTTCATTTAAACAAACACACTTTTTAGTTCTGCAGCTTTCAGAAATAATTTGGTTTCCTGATGATATATACAGTATATAAATAAAAAGAGGGTGCGGTCCTTTGTGTCGTAGCTTCCTACTTTAAATCCTAAGATGAACCCTTCTTCCTCCTCCTCTAAAGCAACTATGAGGTCATCTGACATTTAACAACTGTTGTCAGGATAAAAGCCAGAAATGCGTGTCCTTTCACTCCGGTACTCCAGCGCTACGCTGTGAACGAGTGTGAGAGAAATGTTTACATTCTTCAGCGATTTCAGTCTGAACTCTCAGACTTTTTGATTTATTATCACTGAGCCTCATTTTTCACTCACACATAAATCTCAGTCATCCCTCAGTCGCAACAAACCAACCTGTTGCTCAGGCTGCGTGATGAATAATAATGTTTACAAGCTACACTGCAACTGATTAAAAGGGCACAGTGATCAGATGTTACTAATTCTGTGTGAATTTAATATATTTTCGCCGTTATTACAGATAATACCCTCCCTCCTGACGTTATCCTTTTATGGGCAGCAGGTTTTTTTGCTCCTTAGGCTGCCCTCTTGGGATGAAGTGTTTTGAATTCCCCTGGTGAGCTGGCTTGGCCCACTCTCTGTCCCTGATCATATAAACACTCTGCTTCTTCTCCATACAGACTAGAACAAACATCTGACCATCGGTCTAGCTTTACTGCTCGAGCTTCCTGGCAGGACACTTCATCTCCGTCCAATTTGCGTAGAGAAGTCTGTGTCATTTCTCTTGTCTGTGTTGTGCATAAGTGCCCCATTTCTAACTGAACTGAAGTGAACCTACAGCTGTGAAGTGCAGCATCAGCTTCCTGCAGCAGAGTGTCTAAAGGTACAGCCCTACCTGGACATTATCATTATAATGGGGGGTGTTTGGTTTTTCTACTTCCAATGGCCAAGGAGGGACATGGTCATTGTTTACAATCTGTGAGCCTGCAGGATTGCCGAGTCAGCACAGAGCGTTGTAATTCCCCACCAGCCGACAAAACAGCACTGTTTCCTTATAGTTAGAATATGGAACATTTTAAGAAAACACGTTATTTTTAAAGAAATAATACTTCCACGGGGCATTCAGAGGTGTGCAGAATAAATGTACAATTTCTCCTTTAAAAGCTAGATTTAAAAAGATAAATAATCAAATTTTATTCTGTCGGGCTCGACATTGGATTTATGTTTACATCTAACATCCACTAGAGGACACCACTGTGCTAAAAAGTCAGCTCAGCAAGGCAAGGTTGGACTGTGTAAAATGGCAGACTAGAGACGTCAAGCAGCTGATTCCGAGCCCAGAAGATGTTCTGACAGTAAACATGTTTGTAAAATAAACGTATTAGTGGAAAATAGTCCTTATTCTGTACAATTTGTCTCTGAACATGGTGCTGGAACGTGTCGGCAGTGAACCAACATCCCAACAGCAGGAAAATTAGTCCTGTTGCTGCAATACCACCTCTGACCACCAGAGTTCACCAGTGTGTTCGCCAGTATCAGTGTTCCATATTCAACCTTTAAGTTCCTAAACTTGCAACAGGAGTGACTCAGAAATTGTGCCCCTAAGAAGCCACAGCAAATGTATACTTTTACTCTAATATCGGGTGAGGCGGGCTAGAGGCTAATGTTGAACGGTGAATTAGAAGCAACAACTTGATCTTACAGTGAAATGAATTTCTCCACTTGTCATTTTACTGTGTGACTCATCTTCGCTTGTCATCTGGATTCCTCTGGCACTGAGACGTACCTGGTAACAGCTAAAAAACTCATGGAACGGAAGTGAGAAAGTCTCTTGTTAGTTTAGAAATATGGGCTGCAGTACCCAAATTTGATCACAGGATGTCATTCTTACAAATTGCACCATTAAGTGTATGTATGGACATGTTTATTTGGCAAATGATACACCTGCCCTAACCTATTCTCAGCATCTTTCTTCTCTTTCTCACACATATGTATTCACACAAACTCTGTGACCAAGTTTTTCATTTAACAGTCACTGATTCATTCCTTTGCCATGTGTGTGTTTTCATCCATCAGTTGACTGACACTAATTCTAAAAAGTGAGACAATCGAATGTTTCTCACATCTGTTGCTGCGATTTCTTCAGCCAGCAACATCAGATAATGTCAGGTCAGTTAGGTTCTAATCCAAACGCCTGGGTTTTATTAAAAAGTTCTTCCAAATTTATCTTTAATGTTTATGTGTATTTACTTGGCAGACGCTTTTATCCAAAGCGACGTACAATTGTGAATCTATAGGGCCTGTTGTGATCTGTGGGGGAAAACAGAGTATCCAGAAGAATCCACACATGCAAGGGGAGAACATGCAACTCCACGCAGGAAGGCTGCCGCCGAGTTTTGAACCTGCAACCTTCTTGCTGCGAGGCAACAGTGCTAACAACTGCACCGCTGTGCATTCCCCATAGGGAATTAGAGCTGGTGTGACACAGGGATGGGTCAGTCTGAGTGGATGCAGAAATCTCCACGGATCAAACAAGTAAACTAGTATTCTTCAAGAGAGATTTTATATTTTTGGGTACATTTCATGGTGAAAGTTCTATTGACATGTAGCTGTTTTTCTTTCATTGTATCATATCAAGATGTTCATATTGAGTAGATTTGTGCTGCGTTCTCTATATTTTCCAGCTGTGGTAAATCAAAACCATGCAAATGTGCAGAAGGTTGTCCCCAAAGGCATCATAAACCCCATATCTGTTGATTTTGTTTGTTATTTGTACCAAATATACAGTAATCAAAGTACAAAAAGTAAATAGATTATTAAAAAATAAAATAATCAAAGAATAGCAACACATAAGGATCAATAAGATGACAGTTTTTTTAAGGAGGCGTCATATGATTTATTTTGTGAGTGAGACTGTTTTAATATTGAATTTGATAGGGAGAGAGCTTTAACAAATCTGTGTATTGTTTATTTTGAAACAAGGCAAATGGATCTCAGTTTTTGTATGGAAATCTACAAGAAAGTAATGGCTTTAAAATGTGTTTTCCTCTTCATGGAAACTGCCTAAGTGTCAGTGTGCAGGCCAGTGTTCGCCCAGTGAAGAACCTGAATAAGTTAGTGTCTTGAAAAAATTGCACCCTATTTAAAATCTCTGCAGGGTCGATTCCAAATTTGTGGATTCAGATACAGATGACCAGCACATGAAGGGAAGAGGATGTGCAAATGGATGATGTGACAATGGTTCGAGGAAATTCTCCAAATGTTTGCTGGATTTGTTTTTGTTTAACACAGCATTAGAGTACTTTCATCCAGTATTACCACTATTCTGCCCTCACTAGAGGATGAAGCTGGGTTCTAGCTTGGCAGATAGCTTAACAGGTCCACGATAAACATCCAGGAGTCAGCAGGGACGTTTTAGATATTTACTGTAGAAGGCACTGTAAAACTGCAATACAGAAAAACAATAAATGAATAATGTTACATTTATGATGTATTCATATGTATTTTGTATTAATAAACACTTAATAATAAACTTTCATGTACTTTATGGGTATTTCATAAAGATATAATAACACAATCAGAAGTTTTTCCCCAAGAACCTAGCGGTTAGCTCAATGCTAAGAATATAT